ACATCTTTAACAATTTCAGGACTGCTAAAAGTAGGGATGCAGCCATGCAGGCAAAAGCACAGCTGAAAAGGGGCCTCCAAAGCACAAAGAGTTGTGTCAGTGCCAGATAATATGCAATAAAGTGTAATATATTGTAAAACACCTCTTCTCCCATTTAATAATTATGATGTCATAGGGACCCCTGGTAAAACTTAATGATGTCATATGGTTCCCCTGGTACCATAAAATGAATTGCAAGCTCTGAAAAACCTTTATCGATTTCAATAATGTGTCATTCTACACATCAGCCTATCAAGCAATACAAGCATGAAAGTATAAATGATATTACACTTATTCAAACGGGACATTGTTATTAGTCAGACCAGGTGTGATTCTTGATTCTTTAACCAGTAACTACTTTTTATCACATAATTAATGAGCAGCACGTCTCCAACGATACTATTCCATTCTTGAGTATTTCATTATATTACACTCTTCATTATAATGCAACATGCCAAGTTGTTTACTGATCTAGAATACAGGACTGTATAATTTTAACTTGAGATTGATTTCTCCATTGCTTCTGGAGGTATTGACATAATAAAAAGATTATCACATTTGCAGTCCCAGGTGTATCTGAAAGAAATGTAAAACTAAAGCTATAAAATAGTCAAGTTAAGTAAAAATTAAACACACACTGGTATACTGCTACAGGCTTTTGCTTAATTGCTACAGCAGTACAGACCTTCCTTATTGAGAAAAAAATCTTTATTTTATCATTGTATAAAGAATAGCATTATGGTTTTAAATTCCCTAGGTATGATAGATTCATAATAATGCATGTATAATAGTATTAAATAAATACTGGGTATGATCAGCTCACAGGATGCTATAGAATTTCTGAAAATCTGCTGCATTTTTAGGGGGTACACAATATATTTTGTGGTATTCTAACTAGACTACAATTAGGATGGAAATTCAGAGCCCAAGGTTAAAAAATTAACCTTGAAACAAAATAATGATGACATGAACAATATATTAAAATTGTAACAAATTAAAGAATTAAAGGCAACCAAGGCAGTGTGCAACAAGCAACGTTCTTGCTCAAGAATAGCCTATTTAATAAAGCTGAGAGTTATTAAATTACTTTTATATAACAAATAATTAAACGTACTTATACCTTAAGAAGAAATCAGAACATTTTGAAGGAAATAGAAGCCATTTGAGACAAAATATTTGATCGATGACTCGATGAGTGTTGACATGTGTACAAGCCGGTGTTTCAATCATCTCAAATTACTTGTGAAACGGAAATCACACGTGCACTCAGTATCCTTGTTGTTCACACTAACTGCGCCGAACATATTTTAATGCTTTTGACGGGAAAAATTGCGATTTTATTGATATTTTCAGCAAAAAGTTGGCTCTCCACTCCTCTTGAAAATACTATGGCGCGCGAATTCCCGGAGAATGGGTACGAAATAGTTAATTGGAAAATACTGTACTTTTACCGTATTTTCTAATTAACTCAACTCGTGTGGCCAGAGCCACTCAACGATGGCTCTGGGTACGAGATTGTAACTGAACAGACAACGGGAAAATGTAATCTATTTGTTATATACAATAAAATTAAAAAAATTGCCGAATTAAACAGTTAAACAGTTTATTTTTATTCCCCCAAAAGTTTGGAAGTCGAAATTTTGCAAATATCACGCGTACATGATCTATACAAATAACGAAATGCTATTGGCTCGCTTAAATCACGCGCTGAATTTTGATTTGCTAAGCTTAGAATGCGCTAGACGGTAATAAATAAGGAAAAACTAAAAATTTATCAAAACAGTGAAAAAACATTGTTTTAAAGGAATAACAACGTGTGATAAAAAGGCAATATTTTGTTCTGAGCGACTATGGCAATTGAAAAGCACTTAAGCATTACCTATGTTGCACGAAGTGAAGAAACCAGCTTTGAAAACGAGACATCGACAGGGTCAAATGACTGAAATAGTATTTGTTTTCGAAGACTGGATTGGATTTTGAAGTCGCATCTGAATGACTGAATTGAGATTTGCCAAGTTGCTAGCTTTTGTGAGTGGTTTTTGCACGTTTATCGAAGGTGTTTATTGATGTTTATTGATTTAATTGCATGAATTCATTCAATTTGTATAAATTCACAGTGGAATTTTCGACGTTTTAAAAACTTATGACGTATGTGCGGCTGTCCTCTAATAGATCATGGCTCTCGACCAATGAAATCGCATGAATTCTTAAGGTTATTATATAATTACAAATATATATAATGAAACAATTATGTAAGTAAACAGACATATTTTATGAAGGTACTGTAAATCATTGTAAGGAATTGAAACAACTATCTATTATATTATGGAAGGCTGTTAGACTAGTTGTTTCTTTTAGAATATTTAGACTATTTATTGGGATGTTATTCCAAGCCGCTGCTCCTCTATAGGAAAAGCTATTCTTTAAAAAATTGGTTTTTGGTTTCCTTTGGGATAATTTTAAGTTATTGCTAGCTGCGCAGATCCTAGTCGCTATTTAAACAAGTATGAAATAATTCGATAATCTTCCTTTAGAGAATGCTGTTTATTTAGCAACATTATCGGACACGGATTTTATGCTTACTCTTTTAGGCTTACAATCAGAAACGTTATGCTTTGATATAGAACTGTGGACGTTATATTTGTTGCAATCTGCATGCATGTTATATTTCATCTTGTTTTCGAACTAGTGTAATTTCAATTTAGTTAGTTAGTTAGTTAGTTAGTTAGTTAGTTAGTTAGTTAGTTAGTTAGTTAGTTAGTTAGTTAGTTAGTTAGTTAGTTAGTTAGTTAGTTATAGTTAGTTAGTTAGTTAGTTAGTTAGTTAGTTAGTTAGTTAGTTAGTTAGTTAGTTAGTTAGTTAGTTAGTTAGTTAGTTAGTTAGTTAGTTAGTTAGTTAGTTAGTTAGTTAGTTAGTTAGTTAGTTAGTTAGTTAGTTAGGTATTTTAAACTTACTTATACTTATACTTAAAGAATTATACTTATTTAAAAAATAACAAACCTCAACAATGTTTCAAAACTTTAGCGTGTCTTTTGCGAGAACAAGTTAGAACAGACAAAGCTATCATGTTCAAACAAAGATGTTGGTTTGAAAAAAACGACGTTAACACAATAACGAGTTAATTTGTATAAAATAAGCAGATTTAAACAAAGATATATTCGATCAGATGTGTGAAATGTAAATAAGCCATGTCATATAATGTGTCTGACATGTCAAGATAAAAAGCAGTGACTCCAACGCGCTTTACCGCATGAAATCTAATCTACGATCTTTGGGGATCCATTAAACTAACCTTTGTTTAATTAAATAGTCAAATTAAAACTCAGTGACTACAGTTAGTTTCCAAATAGAAGTCCGGACGATTATAATTTCCCCTCAGTCTCAGTCGCATGTCAGACGAGTGCTTCATGGCATAATATTATTCAAAATCATTCAGAACATCGAAGAAAGAAGGGGAGCAATAGCTTAACTGGTGTTTTTTTTTGTTTGTGCATGCGTAGTTTTTTATGCGTGGTTGTTCATGCGCGATTTTTATTTCCTGGAATCTGATTGGCTGCAGGAGCTGGTAGCTTTTTACGATATCTTGATCTGGTCTAAAAGAGTTATTTTTTCAAAATTCAAAACACTTCCCAAAATGTAGCAAAAATCCAGTCTCTTGACGCTAAAGAGAGTAAAATACAGTGGACTGACTTGAATGTCTTGAATGGATTATTGTCAAGTCCAAAATGTACTTTTCTCCCATCAAAATGAGAAATACAAATATAAATATTGAAAAACACTGACTAGTGTTTTATATGCTTCACATATATTCAGCTATTTCTCGAAAATATACGTTTAAATATAAATATTACAGCATACAACTTGTCTTTAAACATAAGAATATAAAAGGATACATTAAACGGCAGTTTAAGCATGTTTCCAGGGTAAGATTCGGTCAAATAGTCAGCCCCTACAAATGTTGTAATGAACATTTCGTCGACTAAAATGTATAGCTGTGTGTCAAAACTTATTTTTCAAATTTGTTCATAATGTAAACCGATCCGGAAAATAGATAATTTTAATTAGTTTACCTTCTTCATGTAGGCCTATTGTCTAGTTGTGCAGAAAAGCATCCTCCACAATGAAACTAAAGGCTTTTTATCCACTTTTTATCGCGTTGTTTTCACTAAAGTAACAAACGCAACTGATTCAAATTTACTTCATTGCAATTCATTATACCATGAACCATAAAACAAAATAATTAACACGTTATATTTACCATTTTGACGGTTCGTCATGCAGAAAATTTTTTTTTCCTAGGTCTGAGAAGCGTCCCTAAAGGCCTCAGTGCTGATCTCCCAGCCAGTAAATAACATATATATATTTATTTAAGGGTTTTAAACCAAACTAGCTTTATGCATAATTATTTCACTATTGTGTAGGCAAGGGTGAAATTGTCGAGTACACCAGCTCAGCTTGTAATTAATTGTAAATATTTAATTGTAAATATATGAAGAAATTGTTTGGTTGAAGAATTGTAACTTGAAATTTTGAGAGTAAAACCTAATGCCCCACCTAATGGCCGTGCTGTACTTTAGACAACACTACATAGTTGAAAGAAATATTCCTTAATTTAAAAAAGGAGACTATGACTAGGTTAAGCACGTCAAAATACTCCGCCGGTCTAAACAGATGTATATTAGAAATTTGGTTGTATGTTCATACGAATCAATTTTTTCCTCTCCAATATTACAACATGCACTATACCGCCTAATTCCGTTAACACAGCTGTTTTCATAACCAAACCCCTATCATGGAAGATAAGATATTTTGAATTAAATATTATGCTTTGTGGTCTGATCTTGTTAAACTTTAAAACAAACGCATCATTTTTTGGCGGGAACTGTACAGCACGGCATTAAATTAATAACGTGTGGTTATTGACGAGGCCACCACAATGAGCGAAAATGTAGCTATTCATACTTGAAACATCTGGAATTTAACCGCTATGTGTGCATAAACGAGTTTCTCAATGATATAAAAGTCGATCAGCTTATTAACCAGATATAGGCTATAGGCTCACTGTTACAATAAGATACAATAAGATTTCCTCCGATAACAAGAAGAAACAAAGTTTACTTTAGTCTTATAGAGGACAAACGTTTGAACAAAATTTTCAAACAATTTTGAAAAACATAACTTCAATTAAACAAAATGAAAGGAGCAATTTTAAGCTGTTGTGTCGTAATGATTGCTGTTTTCTTGGTATCGCAAGCAATTCCCGAGAACCGTTGGAATTTTGACGAAGGTGCGAACGAAATGGATTTTAACGAGGTGCAGAAACGCTCTGACTTGGAACGACCAAAGCGGATATGTGGAGTAGGAAGCCGTAGGCAAGGCAGATGTAAGATGAGGGTAAGATTTTATATGTTTTCGTTATATTGTATTCGCGCATTCAATGAGGTAAAGTTGTTACATGTATAAAAGTCGAACAATATATGCTTACATAAGCTTCGTGGTTGATATTTAAGTTAACAAGACCCTGCCATTAGCAGGATTAACTCGTGCCAGTGTAAGTGAAATACGTGCGGAAACATTAAGGCATCATACCAGCATGCATATTGGAACAACTGAACGATATTTGCAAGAACCTATATACTTATACAATGCTATCTTACAACAAGGGTTTTGTTATAACTATAACAACTCAACTACAACAACAATTAAATGACAACTCGGTCAATTACAATGCGATATTCAAGAGGTTATGAATGACCTCTCCAGACAATCGATTAGCGAGGGAGTCGAGCTGAATGAGTCTAAATGTAAGGAGGTGAGGAGCAGTTTCGCACGGAGGAAACCAGAATTCAATCCGTTAGTGATGAACAGTAAGCCTTTAGAGATAGTACAACTGGTGTAAAAGTGTTAGGACTAAATATCAGTAGTGATTAAAATGGAACATGCATATACTACCGAGTATATGAACTAGTTCAGAAAGTTATAACTCTATATATATAGACTGTTTTTTCTGAAGTAACTAAAGATCGAGCATGAGTTGCACCACAAAGGGAGTTAACTGACTCTGTTTTATGTCACTTGTTTTGGTTCCATCCTCGAATACGCATCTCCAGTCTTCCACCTCAGCCTCCCAGCATTCCTAAGTGACGACCTGAAGAGGCTACAGAAACGCGCTTTAATCTTAAGAATTACCTATCCAGATATACCTTACAGTATCGCTCTCGAAGTTTCAAGAATTTCAACACTTTTTGAAAGAAGAGAAACAACTGAAGCACATGCACCTTTTTAATGACCCACAACATCGTCTCCACAATTTACTTCCTGCTATCGGAACACATGCAAATAATTACTCATTGAGGAACACAACGAATTTCGTACGCCCCTTATGTATAAGACCGAGCGTTGTAAAAACAGTTTTATTCAAAGGTATATATTTATAGCTTGTAGACATTTTAATCTATTATAATTAGATATATCTATGTTTTGTTAAAAAAATAAATTCAAAGATTTTTTATTGAATCTCATTGACAAGTTTATGGTTCTCCAATCGCAGTGAGTTGAAACAATATTTTTCACATAAATAATATTTAAAAGGCAGCACACCGCTGGAAAACTAAATCGTTATGCTTTAAAATGAATCTAAAGATTATTTTTGAAATTTACATTTGGACTGAGGACTTCGTTTCATATGTTCGTCTTACATGGTATTAAATTTTCGTAACATTATCCGAGGAGAAGGGAATATAATCAGTAAGCTATAGGAGAATATGTGACAGCAAAGTTACATGCATATATACAATTATAAGAGAATAATTGCTAATTTGTGCTTATTATAATGCGGGAGGTATAGCAAGATCTTGATGAAAGTGCTAGATAATCCATTGGAGTTGATATATCTTATTACGTCCTTAGCAGACGTGTAATGACTTGGCCGAGACTTTGATCTGGTGTTTTGCACATTCGCCCTGGAAATTAATGACAGCAGAGCATATAATTGTCTCCCCCGAATAAAGCCCCTAAAATTCCAGCCAATAGCTACTGTGCTAGTGAATAGACATTTTTGGTTAAAATCTGTTTACTTTATATCCAATAAAATTTCCTTAAAAGTTTAAATTCATATGATTGTTAAGATACATTTTTTTTCAATGTCACGTATTTGCGATAAAAAGTGTTCAAAACCGAAAATCTTTCTGGCGTTTCTCTCAAAATTACTTTGTTTTAGCTTTATTCTCTAGTTTATATAGTTAGAAACTTTTTTAAATGCATCTGCCGGTGGAGAAACATAAAATAATAGTTAAAAATTGTCAATTAAAATACAATTATCAATGATGCTTGAAAATTGACGCCATATTTATACAGCCATATAAGCGAAACTTACTGAACTTCAGACATCATTTTCTCTTTGGCGTATCATCTAAAATCACTTCATTTTAGCATTATTTAACAGATAAAGCACCAAACATACTTTTTAAGTTTGTTTGCCGATTGAGTAACGTATATCCAGGGATGTCGCGAAACCATCAACATTGGGGGGGGGGGGTCGTCATGTTTTTACCAACATTTCCTAGGATTTTGACCAGGTCCAAGTGGTACAAATGTTTCCCTAAAATGTTGTCGACGAGGAGGGGGAGGGTGGTGACCAAAAACATTTTCTGGACTAACATAAGGATAGTCAAAAAAATGTTTCCGGACTGACATAAGCATATTCAAAATTTTCCGACCAAGATAAGCAAAGCTTCCAATTATTTCACCGAAAACATAACAAAAGCTTTAACATTTTTAAAATTGCGAACCATTTCATAACTTTGAGTAACTTCGACCATCTTTTATCCCAAACTTTGATCAAATTTTTCCGAGTTTTACCTTCAATTTTAAGCAAATATCAGTTCCATTTTGACCAACTTTGGGCAAATATCAGTTCCACTTTGACCAACTTTGACCGACATTTGAATTATTGGGGGGGGGGGTGTTACACCCATCCCCCCCCCCCACACACACACACACCCTCTCCCCCATATAGCGACGTCCCTGCCTATATCGAACAATAAAAATTTTGAATTTAGTCATAACCTCAAGTGATATATTATATATACGCATTAATTTTGAGCGCGTGTTATGTAACATACAAAAAAATCTCCTCTTAATAACTAATAGTATGATCCCGATGATCCGCAAGGCAGGATTAGTTTTTATGGCCAGTTTATTCTTATAACAAGCCTTTTGAAGCTGTGAAAAACTGATTCTATACAGTATGGGCATACGAATTTTTCGGCTATTGTTTCACTCAAGCACCAATCATTCTATATTGATTCCTATTTGAATTTTTGTGTCCAAACAGTAATATATAAATAATATCAAGTTCTATAATTGTCATATTATCGCATCGAAATAAAATCACATGGCTCAACAGGTAAAACTGTACCTTTATACAAACATTACAAAAATGAAGTGCCGTAGAAACATAAGATTCGATTTCCGGGAAACATACAATTGGTCAAAGTAAAACGCTCGAAAAATAATTATGCTGTTGTGGAATAAACGGCCAGTAAAACATGGTCAATTTTCTATGCAATTTCTGGTCGTGCATGAAGTCTATGCACGAAAGTCTGCTCGGATTGTACTAGCGTCTTTACCTCAATAATGATAATACTTATGATATTCCATCTACTTCATTTTAGGACGAGTATTACAAACGCAAAATGGTTTTCAGGATATGAAAATATTCCAGTTGAAATGTTGGTTTGGTTCGGCGAAGAAACGACGGATAAATGAGAAAATACAATACAACAATAGATTCTAACTTATATTGTATGTTGAATATATATTATCACATCGTAGTTTTGTTTTGAGAACAATAAATAATGAACAATTTGACGAATTTATTATTGGTATATAGTGTGTAGTTCACATATTATAGAATGATCTGCACATAAATAGCATGCATAAATAAAGAAATTAAAAGCATATATACACGCTCACTGAGCGCTCTGGCAAGGTTTTGATGTCCCACATTCTTGAGGCATTAAAGGTAACTGTAAATAGCAGTTACTTTCGTCCTGCGCATCAGCACTACATTGATGATGCCCATAAGGCCAAAATGGTTACCGTCTGTAGTAATATATATATATATATATATATATATATATATATATATATATATATATATATATATATATATATATATTATAAACATATTTACATCCTTGTTCTTCCCGTAAGCCGTGCATGCATTTAATTATATGAAATATATATCAGTAGAGAACAGAGAGTTGTTGTGTAGCCAATTTATCTTTAAAACTTTTTAAAGATGTTTCTGTCTTAAGATCATTTGGCAAGGTGTTCCAAAGCTTTGCGCCAGAAAAAGCAAAGCTTTGTTGATAAAATTCTGTTTTGACTGATGGCAGTGACAGATTTAAATTCGCATTACGTAGCCCAAAGGATTGAACTCCGTCATTATAGTTAAATAACTCTTTCAAATAAGTTGGAGCATTATTGTTCCAGACTTTAAACAACATGGACATTTTAAACCGTTTCCTTCTCTCATCTAGAGTCGGCAACCCAAATTTTTCGAGCAGGTCAGTACTCCTAACAGAATAATCGGCTCGGCTAATAATACGAACTGCCCGGTTTTGTAATTTTTGTATTTCATTTGCCATGCAGTGTATCACTCATAGAGTCCCAAACAATGCAACAGTAATCAAAGTGTGGTTCAACGATTGAATGATATATAGTAATGAGTTGTTTTTCTGTCAAGAAATTCCTAGTTCTACGTAATAAACCCATGCCAATTGAGACCTTTTTAATAACGTTGTCAACATGTTTCTTCCACGTCAAATTTTCATCAATTGTAACTCCTAAGCATTTTACATGTCTTACTTTACAAAGTGAAATACCTCCAATGGAGAGTGCAACATCGTCGATCAATGAAGCAATCTTTTGCCGAGTTCCTATAATCATATATTCAGTTTTTAAGGCGTTTAGAGTTAATTTATTATGGCTTTAAGCCATAAATTATCTTAAATCCCGTTCCATTTTAACGCTGAAGTTCAACTTTACAGGAAAACATGCAGAAAAGGACAAATTTGTATCATCAGCATACATTCGTGCAGTGCCGTGATCAAAGCAATGATCAAAGCAATATATATATATATATATATATAGTCTATATCTTAAAATTAAATATCGCTACTCTGAGTTTCACGTCCTTTCTAGACGATCATCAGGCGATTTTTCGCAAAATCACCTAATGGTGATATATATATTTTTATATATATTTTAAAACTTATCTATATTCCATAACAATATTAGAAGCTTAAATTTAAATTTTGAAAATTTACAAAGTCATTTATTTGATGAGCTTGATTATCACTTCAATATTATAGGTCTTACCGAAACAAAGATCACATCTAATAACTATGTTAATTGCCCACAAATTCCAGGGTATGACTTCGAATTTGTACCAACTCCTTTGAGTTCTGGTGGAGTGGGAATGTATATTGATAAGTCATTAAGTTATGAAGTAATAGCAAAAAGTTCTAATGAAGCGTTTCAAGCATTATGGATAGAAATATCTTTTGTTCAAAAGAAAAATATTATTGTTGGAGTAATCTATAGACAGCATAATTCTCCACATAAATTTAAAAAATATTTTGATGAGGTTATTGAAAAGTTTACAGCGACTGGAAAATCGTTATGTATTATGGGAGAGTTTAATCTGGATTTATTAAAAATTGAAAGCTCTTGTTATAGCCGAGATTTCTTTTTATCTTTGCAAAGTTGTTACCTCAGTCCCTCCATTGATAAGCCTACCCGGGTTTATAATAATTCTGCAACCTTGATAGATAATGTTTTCATAAATATGCCGGAACGAGTAACAATTAGTGGGAATATAATTTCTGATATAACTGATCATTTCTCTCAATTTTGTATTTTCAAATCAACTAAGGATAAAATAGAAATACCAATAAAGCAACAACGACGTGACTTTTCACAATTTTCTGCTGTTAATTTTAACAATGAATTGTCTCTCACAGATTGGGATGAAATATTCCTAAAAGGGGATAGGGATATTGATAAAACATTTTTCTTTATTTATAAAAGAATTAATGCGATACTGAATAAACACGCACCAATCAAACTGATATCGCGTCGTCAAGCTAAACGGCTCTCGAAACCTTAGATTACTAAAGGAAAATGAACAGCTATCAAACACAAAAATCAACTATATGCTGACGGAAAACAGTCTGAGTATAAAATATACAGAAATCGAATATAAAGATTAATACGATTAAGTAAAGCTAACTATTATTGTGAATATTTTAACAAACATTTGACGAATATGAAAAAACATGGGAAGGAATTAATACTATTATGAATCGTAAAACTCAGAAATCATCCTGCATTCAAGATAAGAAACGTAACCCATATCCCAGATATATTAAATAATCATTTTGCATCAGTTGGACATAAATTGGCTAACCATGTAGTTACTAGACCCGCGAAAGCACTATTCCGACTTTCTTATAAAGTCTAAATCTCCGCGAGATTCGTTTTGTTTTAATCTAATAGTACTCCTGATGAAGTGAAATTTGAAATTTTAGCACTTCCAATCATTCAACCAGGCACATGGTTTTTATTCTTGTCCCTCTCAGATACTGAAATGTGCCAGCGATATTATCAGTTACGTATTGTGTAGATTATTTAATTTATCAATAGAGTTAGGAGTATGTCCATCCAAATTAAAAATGTCAAAAATCATTCCAATATTTAAAAATGATGACAGGACTGATGCTAATAATTACCGGCCGATATCGCTATTATCTAACTAGCCTTTTTGAAAAGATTATGACATAAAAGGATGCAGAGCTTTATTCAAAAGCATCGGCTATCCTTTCTTCTTGTCAGTATATGGTTTTCGAGAATTGCATTCAACTGAACATGCAATTCTTAATATTGTTAATACCATTCAGTCAAATATGGCTAAGAAATTATTTTCGTGTGGAGTATTTATTGATTTAAAAAAAGCTTTTGATACCGTTGATCATGAAATTCTTTTACAAAAATTATGCTATTCCGGATTTAGAAGAATAATTAATGATTGGTTTAGTTCATATTTAAATGGTAGAACGCAAACTATACAAATTGGTAATCACATATCCAAAAAGGCTACAATAATGTGTGGCGTGCCACAAGGATCTGTTCTGGGTCCATTACTTTTCTTGCTTTATATTAATGATATTGAAAATTGCTCTAAGAAATTTAAATTTTACCTATTTGCTGATGATACAAATCTACTCTATTCCGAAAAAGACCTTAAATCTCTTGAAAAAATTGTTAATGAAGAACTTTGCCATTTATATGACTGGCTTAGTTCAAATAAACTTAGTCTTAATTTAAAAAAGTCTAATTTAGTTATTTTTCGTCCATATCAAAAGAAATTAGTATATCAGCCTATTATCAAAATGTAATTGAATGGTATACAGAGCTTAATTGTGAAGATTATATTAAATATCTAGGGGTTGGAATGGACAAGAATCTCTCATGGAAATATCATGTAGAACATGTTTTGAGTAAAATAAGTAAAACTGTAGGCGCCAGGCCTCCAAATTTGGGGGGGGGGG